TGACTATTAAAAATGGTCAAATGAGTTTGCTCAACCGATCAAATGAGTTTGCTCTATTAATAAGTTATTCTTATATTTATAATAATAATAATTAATGTATTAAAAATAATGAATAAAATAATAATTGACTAAAGAAAATTTGGGATGAGCACAAGTGAATCAGCATTTCGATCTTTGATAACCCAAATCATCCTCGTTCGAAGCCTAAACAAAGGCAGCTGAAAGAGGAGAGAGGCAACAAAAATCAATTTGACAGCAAACATGAAGACCCCACGTTGTCCCCAACAAAATTCACAAATTTCTCCAGAGAACAATAAAGATCGGCCAACATTTCTGAATTTTATAAGAGGTAATAGCTTTATACACCAAACCAAAGGAGCTGTGCAAAAATCCACGGTGGGCTATTATTGAGTGGGAAAAGAACTAAAAAAAAAAAGGGAAAAAGTGAATTCAATTCTGACAGGGAAATATTAGAGTAGAATGATCTTCTTCAACTTTGAGAAAATAGCAAAGGGCAATGACGATGCTGGGGAACATCCATCTATTCACCCCCCTCTAAAGACAGAAGAAATAAGTAAAATATTCCCAACTTGCTGCTTAACATCACGATTTTGGACGCAGAATCTTAAAACTCTTGACAATTATGCCTTGGGTATAAAATGAAATCATGTGTATGCTTTTGTTGAATCTTGTAGATTATGAGTACATATGAAAAATTAGACTTTGAGGATATACGTTTTTTTATAATGATGCAATGCATATGATAGACATTGTCACCTCAAATCGGTTAAATTAGAGATATATTATAGATGAAAAAAATAATAATTTTTTTAGAAAAATAGATTATAGTGATAAATAAAGTTAACAGTTCAATAAAATTTTCTACTATCAACAATCAGTTGATCTAGTAGAATGAGACACTAAATTTCCTTAAACAATGTCAGAAATTTGAATTCTAACGTTTGCGAATGAAGCAAATTGAGTTAGGAGGGTCGCCCTCACCTTTGCAGTACGATTTAGATTAGATTATCACTAGATTGGATTCTGATGGTTATACAAATTTTTTTTACTGTTATTGATAATTTTGATAAAATCATCGGTAGACGATTTTACTTTAATTTTTTTATTTTTTATATTTAGAAATAAGCCCTTTAAGTGGAAACAATAATTTCTAAGAAATTATTATTATTATTATTATTCTTTAAACTCACCATTCCTAAAAGAGATAATTTCTGAAATTCTTATTTTGAACCCTTTACTTTTATTTCTTTATAATTTAGTACTAAAATGAATAAAAAATTAAAATTAAATCGATTACTAGAACATTCACCATATTTCTTTAAATATTTTTTTCATTATCCATATTGCCCAATTATTTTCCATCCATAATATACTCCTTATTTTGCTGCCCAAACCTCTTTTTTGTTGTTGCTTTTTCTACCTAATAATAATAAAATTAGTTGGCTTAAGCAGTTCAAAGTCTCAAATAGACAACTTGCATGCCATAAACATGTGATATGGAACTTTCAAAGTAATGGGACTTTAAAAAACATTGAAGTGGTTCGAATGTTATGCATCATGATAGTTAGGATCTTAGCGACTATATAAATAAATAATATAAAACTCATTGGAAGCAGCCGGGAAATGTACAACGTTTATGTAAGTTTTACCTTGATTATACTGTGATCAGTTGTTATATATATATATTAATATTTCTTAATGTTTCATATTATATCTTCGTTAATATTATCTTCAAAATTTGAACTTAAATTACTTCATTGAAAGCATAAAAATGTTCGGTCATAGATTAGTGATGAATCCAGAAATATTTTTTAGGGTAGACACATATATGTTAATAACACAAATTTTTTGAATAAAGTGAGTACTATCAGTAAAATAAATAACTAATAAAAGAAAATCCAAATTTCAATGTATGCATATGCTTACCCTCACCAAGTTGTGGCTCCGTCACTATTAGAGACGAAGTTAGAATACCAATTCAAAAAGATAAAATATCATGAGTGTATGTAAGGGTGGGCCTCTCTAGATCATGACCCACCCTGTGTCTCAAAAACTTAAAATATAATTTTAAATGTATATATATATATATATATAATATATATATATATATATATATATATATATATATATATATATATATATATATATATATTATGTTGAAAAATTATATTAACCTAGTTAATATATTTTTCTAGATTAAGTTTAAATATATATAGTTCTTATTATTGGATAAACGTTTTATTATATTTATATTGGTTCATCTAATAAAACTTTTTGTATTTGTCCATTAAAAAATATAATTAACAATAGAAATTGAGAAGAGTAAATCAAACTAAACTAAAATTAGGAGGCTTAAATAAATATTTTTTTCATATATTATTTTTAATAATAAAAAGTTAGGGGGCAATTTCAAATATCATGCTAAAAGAACATCTAAGCAATCAAATATAAAACAGATTCCTAAAGTTAAAAGATAAATGTTAACATTGAGATTCATGGGGTTATATATTAGCTCAATCATTGAACACTTGTATGACTAACATTCTTTTAGCTAACAATCATCGACAAAGAAAGCATAATTTACTTCCATGTATTCAAATATGAAATGAATGCTATGTTTGATGATGAAAACAATGCTCACTTTCCCTTTCGTTTGTTTAGTGAGAAAAAATAGATATAAGAGAGTACCTAGGATACCATTCAAGAGAGCTGAAAAGAAAATGAAATGCTTAATGCGTTACTTTCTTTTTAAAAACTACTTTATATTTGCGTATTAAAACGACGTGTAAAGTATACAACTGGTCTTCGGCTATAGGATATTATTTTGTTGAGTCTCTTGACTATTAAAAGTTATAAAATGATCCCCGATTATAGATAGTTGCTTTGTTGAGTCCCTCGACTATTAAAAATTACAAAATGGTCACTTGACTATTAATTTTGCTTCAAACTCGTCATTTTTCGTTAAAAAAATAACGGTCATCTGAGCTAGACGTTAATATGCTGACTAAGATATGATGATCGTTTGAGATTATGATATAATGTTTTATTATATCTCAATCAGCAGGTTAATGTCCAACTTAGATTTTCATTAATTTTTTAACTGAAAAGAACGAGTTTGAAACATAATAAATAGTTGAAGGACTCAACAAAGCAACTCACTATAGTGAGGGAACTATTTTGTAATTTTTAATAATTGAGAGAGTCAAAAAAATATCATATAGCCAAGGGACCATATGTGTACTTTACCCTAAAAAGAAAGAGAAAGTTGTATTATATTGGTGGAGGCTACTTTTGTTTCTTTTTGCACATCAATGATATTAGATACCCACCTCGGCACGTCAAACCTTATGGGGTAAGGCTTGACTTGGACCTCTTCATTGCTAAAGGCATTTTAAGAGCATGTGCAAAGAGTAAAGTATTCTTTCATTGCTTACCAGCATCTTACGTTACCTTTTCTTTTGTCCTTTTATATTTATTTTTTCCCTTCTAAATTTCATCTCCTCTTTTCGGAAGTTTCTCGTCATCCTCCTGGCTCCTCGTAATGTCTTCTGCAATAACCACCACTCTAGGAAACCACCTTTGACCCATCTCTGCATGAAGTGTGAGTTTGATGAATTCTGGTTTTTAAGTTTAATAATTCAGTAAATTATGCAGAGGTGTCCAATGAAAGTCTGTTCTGCTTGAAATTACTAAATTCTGGGAATTATGTGCATGGAAAATCGATCATGATTCAAACAAATTTTGAATAAAATAGTGGGAGTTGCCGCGTTAGGTATGTTTGATCTCCGACATATCTCCAACGATTTAGAAAATGTTGAGTTGACTTCCAAATTCCCCAAAACAGATGGTGGATAAAATTCAACTCGATTCAAAAATAAATTGACTTATTCAAGTCGAGTTATTCGAGTCAACTCAAATTATTGAGTTAGTTTTTGAATTCGAGTCGTGTTGAAATTAAAAAAAATTAAATTACTTGAAATTTTTTAAAATTAACTAAATATTTTGATGGTTTTACGATTTAGTCTATGTTTCCTTATTCTTTCAATTCCCTTTTATTTTAAGTTCACTTTTTTCTTATCAAATTTGAACCATATGTCTTAAATCATAGTTGAATGTCTACTTTCAGTTTATATTTTTTATAACAATTTTTCAATTTATTCCTTCTCTTAACGTGATTTCTTTATTTTCTGTCAATATATCATTTATCTTAATTCTATATTTGACCAAATTTGAACCACTTGGCTCCATACCACTATAGAATATTTGTGTAACTTCAATTATTTTTTTACTAAAATCTACTTTTTTTTAATTTAGTTTTCTAATTTTACATTTTACTCAATTTGATATTTTGACTGCAATTGTTTGCAAGTTCTTTCTTCTCATCAATTTTCTGACTTCATTATACTCTAATCAATACTTCACCCTCAAAATAAATTCTTTGAAATATAATACTGTAAATATATTTTATAATTTTATATTGTATTTGATATATTAAATAACATTATAATGCGAAAAGAATATGAAAATATATATATATATCTTATATGGTTAGATGAATTCGAAAAATTATAACTAATTTTTACTATAAAACTATAAATAATTATAATTAAATTTATATAGAATCTCGAACAACTTAATTTGATTCAATTCGGAAAAAAATTAAATTAAGTTTAAATCATAAAATATGAATAGTTAATTCGAATAATTCAGCAAATTGAACTTAAACTCAAGGTGTATACAAGTTCGGTTAGGTTCTTATAATTCAGTAAATATATGTAAAATCTAAAAAATAAATCATAAAATACATGGAGAGGAAAAAGAAGGATGATGATGGAGAGTGCGCGTGGGGTTTGAAAAAATATAACTGACAAGTCTTAAGCATTTGTAAAGAAAGGCTGCTCAGACCAATGCGTGAAGCTATGAAATTTGTAAGCCTATGAGTTTTATTTATTGTTTTTACAGTCATTGCATTGCATCTTCAAGTTGTGTCCAAGATTGTTTCTCTGTCTCCTTCCTTGCTTTCCATTGCCATGGAAGCCCTCAATTTCATCAGGTTTTGGAAACCCAGCAACGGTGGCTACAGGGAGAATCGAGCTCAACCGTGCTGTGGTAACAAGAGCAACACCACCACCGAGTTTCCAAAGGCTTCAGATCATGAGTTGGATGAAGGGGACGACTCTTTCTTCGATTTGAACCTTCCTTTGCACGGTGTTAATGGCGAGAAAAGATTTGAATCCACGGAAGAGAAAACTCCTTTGCCTCCCAATGATAATTTGTCGAAAAGAAAGATAATCCCCATCGAGGCAAGCTCCAATCCTCAATCTCCATTAGCTTTGTTAAAATCAGCTCCAAAATTTCCAGTCTTTACTTTGAACAAGTCCAGGTCAATGGCAAATACCAGTAGAACAATCATAGCAGAGAAAGCTGAGCTGATTGGTCTTCCTATGGAATCCCCAAAGCATGAAAACCATGGTGGCAAAAAGCATTTCAGATTCCAAAAATACATGAATAAATTCAAGCTATTTTACGTTAAAAGTTCAAAAAAGAACAGTCTCAGTGGCCAGATAAAAGTCTCAGGAGACTTGCTGGGGCCATCTCCGGTGAGTTCTCCGGCTAGAGGGGTTTGCAATCAGTTGGGAAAGAGCAGATCAACCTCGGCTGCATCATCATTTCTCATTAGTAGAAGAGATGTTTCGCTGCTACAGCAAAATGATGGGATCCAAAGCGCCATTTTGCATTGCAAGAAATCTTTGAATTCATCAAGAGGTACTACTAATTATTTAGTCTGCTTTAGATTCATCATAAGCTTTGAGTTTAATTTGGAATTGGATCCTCAGCTTTTTCTTGTCTGGGCAGCAGAATCTTCAAGGTTGTCGAGATGTACAAGTGATTCTTCACAGGAGAAGTTAAGCAATGCATCTTCTACAGGTATCTTAAATTTCTAACTAGTGTTTACACTAAAATGAGTGTTGAAAATCTTAACTTGCTCATTAAACTATTTTTTTTTAATTTCCCTCAGATTCTTCTCTTCTGTCAAGAGTTACAAGCAATTCTTCATACGAGAAACTGATGGATTCTGCAAGAATATCCAGCGACGAAGGAAATTTCTCGAGCACCTGAACTACTAGGAAACAATATGTTGTTTAATCAACTCTGTAGAAAGGATACATTGGGTAGCGACTTTGTGTTTTACTATCATTATCGTGATAACGTAAAAAGAATTAAAGGAGGAAAAAGATTTTAGGGAGGCTAGGATTGTTGTTTGATTTGTTAGCTATATGATGAGCAGTAGTAGAGTAATTTCATTTGTGAAGGCGATTATGCCTTCGAAAGGTAAGCTGTTCTTATCAAAGATGTGATCATTTCTGGAATTGAAGAACCTGAAATGACATAATAGTTTTCTCCATTTTCTGGGCTGATTATGCCTTTTCCCAGGAAAATATTTGGTAGAAAAACAAACGAAATGATGATTCATGCAAAGTTTGAACAATAGAGCCATACATGTATGGACCGAGGGTGGGTGGAGCATTTGCTTTTCTGACAATTTAAAATTATTATATATTTTATATTTATTTTATATATATTTTTTTATAAAAAATATGTTTTCGTACTCTTGTAATTTTATAAATTCATCTGATAGTATAAAATTTTACTGAGCCTAGACACATACAGACTTTAAAATCTGGGTTCTTTGTTTAACAGTTAAACACGCTTGAAGCAAATGGAAAGGGATCATATCATAAGATGATATCTCAGAAGTTTAATCCTCCTAAGAAAGAATCAAAGTCGATTGGAACAGATGGTCTGGCTAGTCATCCTATATGCAAATGGTATATTGAATATTCATGAGCCAGAAAACTGCCAATAAAGATCACCTGTGACAACTATAATACTCATGAAGAAAAATTTAAAATATAACTTGTTAATAAAAGTTTAAAAACGACAGAAATCAATTGAAAATATTAGTAAAAGTGTAATTTTTTAAGTTAGATAGAACAACTTTTTATATTGAACAGGTTGTAGTAAAATATATTTCTTTATAACATTTTCGATTGTAAACCCTAAACTCCTACAATATAATTTTTTAATAATAACCGAAAATGTTATAGATTTGTATAACTTTTTAGATTAAACATAATAATATTTTAAATTGAAACCGCCTTAAATTAGACCACCACACTCTTATGTTGGAAGTTTGATGGTGTTATTAGATGTGATAGAGTAATTGATTATGGTTGCTGTGAAAGCAGGGCATGGTGATGATACACTGGACAATTGTTTCCCACAAATTCTTTTGTCTCCTTCAAAAGCACACAAATGGGTCTGGGTGAGTAGTAGGGTTGAGCAATGAAATCGAGAAAATCGAAAAATCGAGACGAACCGAGTAAAAAGATTTGGTTCGGATTTATCTTTTACGGTTCAATTTCGGGTTGATTTAAACACTCAATTGTCTTAATTCGGTTCAGTTCGGTTCAGTTTTTCCATATGGAACCCACTTATTCCATATTGAACCGAATAACAAGTTTGAACTTCAAACTAATATCAAGTCGGTTACCCACTTACCCCTAATCTAATGGTCTAATATTTAGTCCAATTAAAGTAAATACAACTCATTACCGAACTGAACCAAACCAAAAAATTCGGTTTCACATATTTCGGTTTTTATACCATTATGTTTCGGTTTTAATTTTAAAAAACCGTTTATTGTGATTTATTTCAACTTTTATTAAAAAAACCGAACCAAATACACCTCTAGTCAGTACTCAGAACAAGCATCCCTAACCACTTTCAAACACAATTTTACCTGGATAATAAATATATTTTTTCTCTCAGATTCAAGGTTTTACCTTATTTATTTTGAAACGACTCTCGTCGCATACCTAATTTTGGTGAGTGAGTCTCTCAAGAACTTTTTGCTTATATAATGACTCAAACTCTAGACCTTGCTTGAGAGATATAAGCTACTTACCACTAGGCTCGTCCTTGAGAATGGACGAAAAGGGCACTCGCCTAGGCCCCCTCTTGCTCAAGACTAAAACTATAAATTCATATATAATTAAAAATAATAAATTATTTATTTAGTCACTCACTCACTTATTATTTTATTTTCATTTTGGTCATTTAATTATTATTTTTCTTTAAAATCATACTTAACATTACATTTTGTTTTTTTTTGTTACTCATTATTAAAAAATTAACAGTGTTGCTAAACTGACATTTTTAAATTATTTTTTTCACTTTTCACTTAATTATTCTTTAATTCATTCTTTTGTAATATTTGTTATTAGAGACCGGATTTTTATATTCGTCCTAGGACACTAAAATCTCAAAAACGGGCTTGCTTACACTTTAATCAACATCTATTTATAAATAATATATATTTTCAATTATTTATTAAAATGAAAAAAATATTTACAGAAATAACATATATTTTTAACAAACAGGATAAAGATACATTATGTTAATTATATCTTTATTTATATTATCGTACAATTGTCGGAGTTTGTAAAAAAATATCAAAATGAAAGAAATAAAAGAAGGAACAAAATATAAAAATATGAACTTTATTTAAAAAGAAGAAATATGAATGAGACCACAACGACAACATGCATGTATAAATATTATATTTAATAACTCAATAAATACATCTTTTAAAATAATATATATTTATGATATATCAGTCTTTCAATAAATTTATTTCCTTTTATGATTTGTCTATCGTTGATTTGTGTTTTTACTAACATGTATCTTACACATGCACTGTGTGTACGTTTTTTAGATAAAATTTGTATATATATTTTAACATTTTTGACATTTTTTTTTATTTTCATTTTGAAACTTATTGGTGTAACATTTAAAAACTCTGATCGACTATTTACCTAATAAACAAAATCATGTTCTGTCAGACATGTCTTTTGGAAAAACACAATTAATAGAACATACTTTTATCTTATAGGACATAAATGAACAGTATTTTAGAAAGAAAAAATCAATGTTAGTTCGTTAAATAATTAAAATTAAAGTATTGGTTAGGTAAAGAACCTCCAAACTAGAATTCTAAAGTATTGAAGCTTTTATATTCATAAATGAATGGAAGAAGAAGCACATTGCGTGCAACAAGAAGTAAACCGAAGTTTCCAAGGAACGTACCATCATAATGAGAGGTAAAAGCCAAAATGAAAACAAAAACACAGTTGCAGTGAGACTCCATAGTCTACGGGAAAATAGCTTTAATATTGTGTTTGAAAAAAAGATTTTCCAATTAATCTATCCCACTTATTATTTTTCAGACTAGGACGTTTACTACAATAAATTTAGAAGACTTCAAAATTATTGCACGTCTTCACCATCACTTATCATTTTCTTCCTTTTGCTCTACAAAGTTGAAGACGCGTGACAATTCATGAGTCTCCCACTGGAAAAAATAAAGTCGTATGACAATTCTGACGTCTTCTCCGTAGCAATGTAGCAATGATCCTAGTTCAGGAAATAAAATGGTGGATGCCTTATATGATAAAATATTTTTTCTCACTACCCTATATGAGTGAGGGAGCCCATAGTTCACAGTGCACCGCAAAATAGCATGGTCCCCTTATGTATCGCTTAAGCATGGTGCACAATGCAATTTGGTAAGTATGTCTCGAGATCGAGACCTTTTATATGTAGGAAATCCACCAAAATCACGTTTGAAAGTAGTTGATCTAGATTTTTTACGATAAAACCCTAAAAGATCGAGAGGATAACCAAAAAAAATAGCATGGTCCCTTCTTACTGAGCCAAGACCCATCATAAATAAGGTCCTAACGCTTTCAGTATCCAGCTTATGACCTATCAGCTGTATATCTGATATACACAATTGTAGTTAGGCTATATATTCAGCTTCATTATTTCCTTATTGCTGAATTGTTATTATATTTGAGGAATTCATTAATTGACTGAAAGAAACCGTTGAAAATTTGGCTTCGCTCTTCACATGTCTCTAGTGATGTAACACTTCAGGTGCATTTGCATTAGGGCACGATGTATGTTGAAAATTTGGGTATCCTGATGGACCCATTAGTGTCCTTGTTAGGAAACATAAAATCCATGATCACCAATTTGGTTTAGTTCACTGGATCTGTCTTTCATTGCCTTGTGTCTGCAACATTATCATTCTTTTTCTAAATTTTTGTACCTTTGTCATCTCTCTTGGGCCATAGGAGAAGGTTAAATTACTTTTGCTGGGCATTGGTTAGGCCGATGTGATTAACACAGGACGGAAAGAGGGTTAGCGGCTTGTAGCATTTGTTATTTTGAAAGGAAAAAAATGATTAATCCCCAAACTTTTGAACATTCTAAATTCATCCTCAAACTATGACTCTTATTATAAATGAATCTCCAAACTTTTAAACATTCCAATAATATTCCGTAAATCATTCAAAACTTCAAAGTTGAAATTAGAATATTTAAAAATTTGAGGATCAATATAGAATGAGGGTTATAGTTTGGGGATGTATTTGGTATGTTCAAAATTCTAGGGTCCAAATTAAAACGAGGATCATAATTTCTGGATATATGGTGCAATTAACTCTATTTTTAACAGAAACCACTAATTTTATTAAAAAAAACTCAAAATTACAATGAATGTTCACAATCATAACCATAAACTAAACACATAACTAAGATAGTTTCCTATAATCATTAACAAAAGAAACTAGCCACTTGAGATCATACAAGGACCATATAAGAAGAAAGCTAAAAACACAACTAAAATATTCTAACAAAGATAGATACAAATAGATCTAATTACATCAGTAATCGAACCAAAAAAGAGAATGAAAACTACAAAAAGACCACTGACAAACCACATATCAAAGTCGAGAAACATAAGAAACTATCCACGAACGTAACCACGTATCTCAATCAAATCTGAGGTTCCAAAGCAGAGAATATCAAAAGCATAACAAATAAGCGTCATCTTGATCAGTTGAAGCGTCATCAAATCCAACTATGAGAAAAAGATAAAAATAAAAAGAACGACAAAAAACGTACTAAAAGACAAAAAATGTAGCATAGAAGCAGAAAAAATGTGTCATAAAGACATAATTATTTAAAATTAAAAAACAAAAGAAAAGTACAATAAATGAAAACAAGAAGGGCTAACGATCGATAACCAACACTAAGATTAATGTCATCGCTGACTAAAAAAGTTAAAAAAAAAAAAGTAAGTGGCGCAAGAAAAAGAAACCT